ATCAGATACCTTCCCATTTACTGTACCTGTAATCTCATATACAGTATATGTTGAAATGTTTACTCTTTGGTTGACATTGCACTATGAATTCCTTGTTCAAGTTCAGAAACATGTTGTCGGTTGAAGTCTGAAACCAGGATTTCTGAAGACATCTACTGGAATCTGAAACCAGGATTATCTTTATGCAACTCATGATAATGATGAGTACTTGGTTTCTGGTCACTGTGCAAATTGGAGTAGTGCCTCCACAATGATACAGCTATTTCTGTGGAATACATCCAATAAAGAAGGTCAGCAGTTTAACTGACCTTCCTTTGAGCCCAGCTGAGGGGGAGTTGAGCTGGATTTCCATTCAGTTCTTCTCTGTGCTGAAGGGAAAAATTAGTAGAAGGGTAACCTCGAATCTCTCTCTTCACTGAGTCCCTCTTCACTGAGTGCCTTTGATGCTGCGACTGCTACTGCTCAGATATCAAAGCAGTCCCACATACTGCATTGAACCCCAGGACATTTGAAGTGAGGGACTGTAATGATATTCTGTGCATTTCCTTATGGATGTGCTGTGGGCTCTTTTGTCAAGCTAGAATAATGGAAGTATGATATTTAAGAGCATTTCTGCAATAGCATTTTTCATTCTTTCTTAAGGTTATGGAATTCAAATTTTAATGGCTTGGTTTAATTGTTTTCCTGAGTGATAACTAATACATCAGTTGATGTTGGAATGTGTTGAAAGGTCAATATTATTTTCTTCATGTTTTCCTTTGTAATCTCTGAGCCAAACAGCCCTAATTTTGATAATAGGAAACTAGAAGATTGAACACTGTTGTTTCTTGGCATGCCTTGGCATCTTTGCTCATATAATCCTGTAATTTATAATAACAGAATTGGTCATTTGACAGGCAAAATACTATATAGTAGTAAGCTCAGGTAATGCACTGATATTCTTTAAGGAAGCTTATATCTGTATTGGAAAACCATTCAGTACATTCCAGATAAAAGCTTCTATGTATTTTTATTTCTGCATTTCAGAGCTACGCTAAAGCTTTCTGATTTGTCCCAGAGCATATAAAGGACCATTAGTGATGGCAGACCACCCAATCCTTTAGTTACAAATGAGAGGTTAGCTACTGGTGGAATAGCTGAATGGTACTGCCATAACATTACATCAGTTTTCTACATGTGGGATCAGTAGAAATTATGAAGTTCTGTAGACTGAACATGTGTGTCAGAGGGTGCTCAAAACGAAACTCCTCCTCCAACATCTGTGAATTCAAATACTGTCTTATAAGATTCTATGCTTATAGAAATTAAATGTCTATCTGGGGACACTGAAGGTAGAGCAGATAAAAGCAGCATTTCCAGTCAGAGGCAAACAGGATTATTATAGCCTAAGGTGACAAATACATTTTGATAGATGCATAAGGAAGACAAGACTTAATGGAAAAGTAAAACATAGGCAAAGGCATACTAAATATTAATGAACAGTCTCCATAGGCATGCACCATGTATGTATATATGTATATACACGCACACATACAAACACACTCACTCACACACAGAGAAAGAGAATATATTTAAACACTTGTAAATGTCTTTTCTTAGAATATTTCTTTCTTTCTTATGGAATTTTGTGTTATTTTTATTTTATTTCTATATTTTATTTCAAATATTTTTTAAAATATGTATGTGTATTACAGTATTAGTTTTTTTATTGCATGGAATATTGCACCTGTTGCCTGATATGTTTACTGATCTCCACTGTAGGGAGAGCCAAGGGATCATAGCAAGAAGAGTCATGTGGTGCTGGGAAGATAGGTGCATCACTCCTCAACTACTCCTACCTTTAATCAAGCATTGTCCTTGAATTATGGTTTGGCCAAGAATTTTAAAACATATGATAGGCACAGACTTGGAAGAGGACTTGAAACAATATTAGGAACAATTGGTGCTTGAATGAAATCAGATTTGCATAAGTAGTTCCCATTCATTTAAGAGTAATTTAAGGTCAGCAGAGTTAAGTTCTGAGTACAAAGAGTCTTTGAATTCTATGTAATAACAATCCACCTTTTGTATCCCATTTCTTACTGCAGAATAAAGTAAGTAAATAAAGTAATAATGTAAATAAAGAATAAAATGAGCCAACATTTTAAAAATATTATATGAGAGGAAGAATCCAAATAGCAACACACATTTGAAAAGGTTAGAAGTAAATAAAATATACAGTAGGCCAACAAGGTAGGGCAATATCAATACAATCCAATACACAATATCTTCTCCAGCCAATACACAATATCTTCCCAGGGTCACAAAAATTTGACCTTTGGAAAGGTAAGATCTTAATAGCCTCCAAGCAACATAGCAAGGGCAGGGCTATTCTGATCTCAGGAATATGCTACTGTAGAGAGATAGGTCAAGACCCAATCTTATGATGTTTGATGATAGGAATCCTGAGAAACTGAAACTGAGACCAAACCCTTTGTTTCAGATCTAGGTGGCCAATCATTGGAAGTCAATGATACTTAGGTCCTGGACAAATAAGGTTGAAAAAAAATATGTTCTTTTTATAGAATAGAATACTTTATTGGCCAAGTGTGATTGGACACACAAGGAATTTGTCTTGGTGTAAATACTCTCAGTGTTCATAAAGAAAAGGTACATTCGTTAAGAATCAAGAATCATAACGTACAACACATAATGATAGTCATAGGGTACAATCAACAATCAAATCATACTAGGAAACAGTCAATATAAATCATAAGGATACGAGCAACAACGTTACAATCCTACATCCACAAGTGGGAGGGGATGGGTGATAAGGAGTGATGAGAAGATTAACAGTAATAGTAGTGTACACTTTGTAAATAGTTGAACAGTGTTGAGGGAATTATTTGTTTAGCAGAGTGATGGCTTTCAGGAAAAAACCTGTTCTTGTGTCTAGTTGTTCTGGTGTGCAGTGCTCTATAGCGTCGTTTTGAGGGAAGGAGTTGAAACAGTTTATGTCCGGGATGTGAGGGGTCTGTAAATATTTTCACTGCCCTCTTTTTGACTCGTGCAGTGTACAGGTCCTTGCTTGAAGGCAAGTGGGTAGTAATTGTTTTTTCAATTTTTTATATTTTTTTAATTTGTTTTTTATAGTGAGCAGTGAAGAATCAGTTTAAATTTTGTATACATTCACAACGTTAGATGGAAGAGTACACCCAGATCCAGCCCAGAACATTTTTCTGCCCAATATGAAGTAGCAAATTCATCCTTCCAACTTTCAAAAAATTCAACAAGTAAATCTCTTCTTCCCAGGAAATGAAAACTAGAGCTGTATAACAGTTATTCTTTTCCTTGATGCTAGATATATTTTCTGCAAATGGAAAAATAGTAGAAAAATTCATCATGAAAAGATTAGCATTACACTGTTGGAATAGGCAGCAGAAAGAGCTACAAAATTAATTCTTATTTTTCTATAAAAGAAAATGTAATTCTTACACTAATTGACTAAATATCACATCCCCATAGGATCTTCTTAGAATTGCTTGGGATGGGAATGGGAAACCATGAGTTTGTTTGTTTGTTTATATAATTACTACACTATGTATCTTACTTAACCGACTTTGGCTAGTTTGCAAACAACATAATAAAATAATACAAAAACATGACTAAAAAGCACAATTTAAAACAAGGCTGAAATTTACAAGTTAAAAATAAAAAAGTTAACAAGCTCACCATTTCTCTAACAAGGCAGTATGAGCAAACAAAGATCACTTTGATTTCATGCAAACTTCCCACTCACTGAATCCTGTACTTCCACTAGATAGTCCTTTGAAGGAATCTAGAGGTTATGGTAATTTTAAAAGAAATTTCCACCTTAATCCAAAGGTCATTATTTTTTCACTGCCTCTAAGAACTGTTTTATTGAAGTCTAATTTTATATTGATCTTTCCTTTATTTCTTGGGTTTATATTTGGACAGTGGTTTTTAAAACTAAGTAAAACATTAAAATATCTTGTGAGTAAAATATGGGTTTTTGAGTAATAATTTACAAAAAGGAAACACATTAAGTACATGCTCACGCATTGGTATATTATCTCTCTCTCTATTTTACATGTATATGTAATGCTTTTTGAAAGAACTAAAAAATAATATATGGGTGGAATTGGAGCCGCAGTAAAATTAACCCTGGTTGGAACACTTGTTGGATTTTTCCCCTCTCTGTCCTATCTTGGATACCATCAGCAAAGTAGAGTCATCAGGTTTAGTTCTCGTTTCCTCCATTCCTGGCCAATATGTTGATATGAGTCAGTGGCATTGAGAATTAAGATCTTGTTTTACTCATAGCTTCTTTCAGCAATGCCAGGGAATACTCTTTGATCTGTTCCTTACTTGTCTTTCATGATGTCAGACCTCCAACTTTAAGATATAAGGGTAGCTTTTCAACAGTTGCTGGGATAAAGTAACCAAGATTCTCTATCTCTGAAGCCTTTGAGATACCTTTGAGCAGTGTTGACTCCTCACAAAGTCCTGGAGTAGTCCCTGCAGTTTTCTTGGCAAGATTTTAAGAAATGAATGGTGTTGCCTTTCTTCCTAGGGCTGAGAAACAATGACTGAGAGACGTGACTTTCTAGAACTGAGAGACAATGACCTAAAGTGGATTTGTGCCTAAAGTGGCACTGGAACCAACAGTTTTCTATTTTTTAGACTGGTGCTTTAACTACTACACCAAACTGACTCTTAAACACTACTGTGTTACATATTAGAATGTATCGGATGAAGGTTGATATTTCTAATAATTAGATTTATTTAATAATCCATTTGCGGAAAAGTAGCTGTGTTTTCCTAGTTGCTATAAAATGCAGTCATAGATGCCATCGTGTTAACTGTAACGTGCGATGTTGTTTTATCAGAATCTGCAATATTAAAAATTAAAATTCTACAGTTTTCATAAGTTTCATAATTTTCAAATAATGTTTTCATAATTTTCAAGTAATGTCCTATTTTTGGCTGTCGTTCTCCAGCGTGTGCTACTGCCGCAGGAGGAGGTGAAGATGAAGGTGAGGCAGAAGCTGGTTGGATTGAAGGGGCTGCTATTCTGCTTTCGGTTATTTGTGTGGTGCTGGTTACAGCCTTTAATGACTGGAGCAAAGAGAAGCAGTTCCGTGGACTTCAGAGTCGTATTGAACAAGAACAAAAGTTTACCCTAATCCGAGGTGGACAAGTAATTCAAATTCCAGTAGCAGAGCTTGTAGTTGGTGACATTGCACAAGTCAAATATGGTATGTTTTTTTGTATACTTTCTAGAAATTTGTGTCTGAATCCCTATAACCTATTAGAAAGTAAATAATAGCAAGAAAATAGTTGCTAATAAATTTAAGGCCGATTCATTATAATACACAGGGGAAAAAATGTAACATACAATCAATTGAAAAAAATACTCATTTTTTTTAATTTTAAGGAATAACATAATATATATATCGTAATCAAAGAACTAGCTTAAATTGATAGATAAAATCACCGGTTGGTACCATGTAATTGAGGATCAATAGTGTTATTCAGAAATCAGCTAGTAAAAATCAACTGAAGGATAATTTGAGGAAGAATGGATAGGGATGCAAAGTAAGAACCTTAATGAAGACAAAAAAGAGCAATATTGCTTTATATCTTGAAATTTTGTAGAATAGCATCCATCCTTAATGAAGAAATTGAGTATATTTCTGATAAGAATAATCAACACCCCAATGTCAAGAACACCGTTTCTATCTGTCTCAATGAACAAACAGCATGCTTAATCTTTTCTGTATATTTGGATTGGCTTGCTGCAACATGAGTACAATCAATATTATTTTCATACATGACATGAATCAAAATTCAGCTGTGGTCTAGCACATAGTTAAAGTCAGTGGAATTGTACTGTGACTGGAGAATACATTACAATATATTACAACCAGATATTTTAATTCCTTAATTGCTTATTAAGGAAATTTGAGGTTAAACTCAAAGATAAAGTCAATCAGCCAAGTGGGAAAAACAATCTAAAACATATGTAGCAATTGCTGTATAGTGGCTATAGTTTACAAAAGATGTATCTACATATTTCTATTTCTGCCATTATTACTGTATATACTCGAGTATAAGCCTAGTTTTTCAGCCCATTTTTTGTGCTGAAAAAATCCCCCTCGGCTTATACTTGAGTCAGATTCCCCTCTGAAAAAAAAATGGTGTGGAGTCGCGGCCTCCGGCGGCAGCGACTCCCAACAGCCCCAGCCGGGAAGGGAAAGGCAAAAAGCGTTTTGCCTTTCCCTTCCCGAGGCGGCGGGACTGGGGCCGCTCCGGAGGCAGCGACTCCCAACAGCCCCAGCCGGGAAGGGAAAGGCAAAAAGCGCTTTGCCTTTCCCTTCCCGAGGTGGCGGGACTGGGGCCGCGCCGGCGGTAGTGACTCCTGACTCAGGGGGCCTCCGAGGGAGGGGAAGAGAGTGACTCCTGCCTCCCGCTGTCATCATCATCTTCTTCTTTTGGGTTAGTGAATCAATTAAACCTTTCATGATAGTGAGATCGTTTCCCAAATTAATTATTTTTATTTTTGAAATTTACCAGTAGCTGCTGCATTTCCCACCCTCGGCTTATACTCGAGTCAATAAGTTTTCCCAGTTTTTTTGTGTAAAATTAGGTGCCTCGGCTTATATTCGGGTCGACTTATACTCGAGTATATACGGTAATCTATCATTTGAAACATCAAGTTCAGTCCACAAAAGTTATATATGCATATATCTTTATCTCTACAGAGATAGTATTTTTTGTAGAATTGCCCTGTTTTATATTAATTTAGAATTGTTCTCATTAAAGAAAGAACTTAGAATATAAATATACAATATAAAAGGAACAGCATGAAATAACGCAAATCTGTGTGCATGTTTCAACTTTGGTTAAATCTCTCTCCTTTTTAAACACTACATTAGGAACATTGGAGCCATTTGGATATAATCTTTAAAAATTTGGATTAAGCTCTTTTTAGTAGAGCAAAAGAGCTTTAAGGATCCAACTGTGCACCAAACAATAATTATAGTTATCCTTGGGTTAATAAACCTTCAGTATTGCTCAGATATGCTGTGAAATGACTGCTTTTTGTGCATTTTGGATAACATAATTTTTGTGTGCACTGCATTTAGTAAAACAATGGAACACCATGCCTAAGCTTTTGAAAAATTTCTCTGCTATTTAACCTCCTTGTATCTGGCTAATTTAACCTCCTTGTATGCACTCCATGTTGCTTTGCAAAAATTGGTGTCTTAGTTTTTGAATAGTTGATTTTTAGTGCTTCCACAGAACAGTAATTGGCTAAGGTACTTAAGGTTTGCTTGAGTCCAATTGAAGTTTGTGACAGAAGCACTACATTTTCTATACACAGTAGGATTGGAAAAACTTCTGATGGGCTGATAATTAGCGACAGGAGAGAAAAAGAGATTGAGTAATAATAGGCTCATCAGGTGATAGTAGTCTGATAAACTTACTAAAGGTTCATCTACAGAAGGAGTATATTTTTATTTGGATTGCAGTGATTTGAAAATTCATACATTAATTATGGAAATCTGGAATAAGGAAGTTTCATATATTGCATGTATGATATGAAGTTTCATACATTGCAAAATAAGTACACCTTTTCAAATTAGATTTTTTTTCTTAATGATTTTACTGATAGGTGACCTACTACCTGCTGATGGAGTGTTTATTCAAGGAAATGATCTTAAGATTGATGAAAGCTCTTTAACTGGAGAGTCAGATCAAGTCCGCAAATCCATTGACAAAGATCCAATGCTGCTTTCAGGTATGTTTTGTTCATTTAATAAACCTTTGATAATCGCAGATATAGAATTTTTTTTTCCATTTTCCTCTTCCTCCTCTTCTTCTCCTTCTTCCCCTTCCCCTTCTTCTTATTCATTATCCATGCATTCTTCAGTCAGCAAACATATATGAATATAAATAGTTTTGTACTAATTACTGAACTGGATTTAAAAGCTTTAAAATCCTGTATTGGACATCTTACATTATACTCAACCTGGATGATATTGTTCCAGCAATATATTTTTTATTTCCATTGTGGATAAGGGAGGCACAGAAGTCTTTAAAGGTAGATTTGAAGACCCTATCAAGCAACATAGAGATAGGACGGGATATGCAAGCACTCACATGTTGAATGATATTCTTTATCTTTTCACTTACTTATTTACTTGGCTGGTTTAAGTTTTGAGACTGAGCAGTTCCTGTTTGCAGCAATAAGAATTAAATAAAGTGTTAGACTTAAAGCAACAATAAATGGTTTGCATAAAAGGGTAGACAGTCCTTTGTAAAACAACCTTGGTTTCCCTACATTCTATGAAGAAGAAAGAAAATAAGATGCTTCTCTGATAGGTTTTTTTTTTTAAATTCACACAAAAAAACTTACAAGATTCTACCCAGTATAATGTATTGCTGTAGCTAGACTTATTTGTACATATGTTAAAGTTTGCATTGAGCAATTATTTTTTAAATTTCCATATATACTCAAAAAAAACTTCTTTCAAAAATTAAACAACTAAAAAAACTACATACAAGACTCTGCTCATAAAACAGTTCTTACTTATTAGCCACCCATTGACATCTAAATGAGGTGATGTTATGGATAATCTGGAGAAATACTGGATTATTTAGTGTGTTTGGTCATGTTTTGGTTACAGATGAGTTTTCATTCTTGAGTGGTCTGGCCCAATTCTGTTTTTTCCATTAAACCTATTATTTAGCTTATATAATTTTGTATAACATGAAGGTTTCTAACAATGGAGTCATTGTGCTATATGAGAACTGACTGTACTATGCAAAAACAAATAATTCAATACTGGATGAAATAAAAGCAAAGCGCTGAGAGGAAGCATTAATAGCAAAGCTAAAGCATAAATGTTTGGAATGAATAATAGACAGCTGTGGAGGACTGATGTTTAGAGGCTCATAAAGAGCCAGCAGCAATGGAAAGATTGAATAATACCAACAACAGAATGTAACCTTCTACCAGCTGGTCAAAGTATATCTTCTTTAGGCAAAACTGTCAGGAACCTAACATTGAGTTCTGTTCATAAAGGGTAGGGAGAAAGGAAATCTGATGAGCCGTTGAAATTCATTAGTGATCAAACATCTCCCACTAAAGACTTGATAAAGGGTAGAAGGACTTTTCTTTTTTATAGTGTATTGATCAGTATGAATTGGATACATAATGTTTATTCTAGCTATATTTTGGTAATATCGAGGGCATAAACATTTCCTATTCTCTGATTCATAGTGTTATACTCTGTTTCTGGGCGGAAAATAGGGTAGATAAAACTCTTTGTTTAGCTGCTGCATAATATTAGCTACTTCTGACTCGTGCATGGAGATGAAAAGCAAGGTTTTATTTAATCTTTGCCAAGAATAGTTACATAACAATACAATGGTCAATCAGGTCAATTGTTAGTAGAAAATTATATATGTATATATTTGTTGGCATTTGATTTGTCTTCAAATGATTTCAGCTGACTTATATAAACATACTTTTTGAAAACCAGAACTAGAAGAAGAATAGAATTCTTTATTGGCCAAGTGTGATTGGACACACAAGGAAATTGTCTTAGTGCAAATACACTCAGTATACATAAAAGAAAAGATACATTCATCAAGAGTCAAGAATCATAAGGTCCAATACTTAATTATAGTCATAGGGTAGAATAAGCAATCAAATCATACTAGAAACAGTCAATATAAATTGTAAGGATACAAGTGACAAAGTTACAGTCATACAGTCACAAGTGGGAGGGGATGCGTGATAAGGAGTGATGAGATTAACTAATAGTAGTGCAGACTTTGTAATAGTTGAACAGTATTGAGGGAATTATTTGTTTAGCAGAGTGATGGCTTTCAGGAACAAAAACATTCTTGTGTCTAGTTGTTCTGGTGTGCTTTATAGTGACGTTTTGAGCAAAAGAGTTGAAACAGTTTATGTCTGGGATGTGAGGGGTCTATAAATATTTTCACAGCCCTCTTTTTGACTCGTGCAGTATACAGATCCTTGATTGAAGGCAGGTTGGTAGTAATTGTTTTTTCTGCAGTCCTAATTATCCTCTGAAGTCTGTCTCTGTCCTGTTGGGTTGCAGAACCAAACCAGACAGTTATAGAGAGGTGCAGATGATAGATTCAGTAACTCCTCTGTAGAACTGTATCAGCAGCTCCTTTGGCAGTTTGAGCTTTCTGAGTTGGTGCAGAAAGAATATTCTTTGTTGTGCTTTTTTTTTTTTTAAGCAAATTTTATTAATTTCAAAGACAAACAAATCATCATCAACCATTACATATTTGAACCTTTTTCCATTATAAATTTTACAAGTCAGATAAAACCTTATTTTATACAATACAATTCTATTTTAAGCCATTTCCATATGAGCATAAAAATACCTCTTATCCAATTTCTCTTTACTTCTCTTTACTCTTATTCAATTTCACTATTATTATTTCATCTATTTCTTTCTGACTTGATTACCATTATTCTCATTCTGTATTTCTACAAGGTTTTATTAATACTCTCAAAAACATAAACACACAACAAACAAACATATAAAAAATCTTTTAGGAAAGTAACTTGGCCCCAGGTACCTCTCTTTATATGGGCTTCAATTATATTCATGCTCATCTTACATATCATTACCTATTTTGTTTACCATTCTATATCTTCTATATAAACTTCTCCACACATTTCACTCTTCATAATTCTATCTTATTTAATCCATCTTAATTTAAATCATTATATTTGTATCTTTTGCCCATTCTTTATTATCCCTCTATCTCATTCCTTATAATGAAAAAAAAAAGAATTTCTCCTGAAATCACTAATCAGAGTATGATGCCTTTCTATCCTTCCCCTAAATTAATTAGATTAACATTTAAAATAACACCTAATACCCAATCTGATTCTGCTTGGTACATTCTATCTACTAATTTTTTTCTTTTAATAACAATAAAAACAGAGTAATAAATCCAAAATGATTAAATACTTAGTTAAGTAATAAATCTAAATATTAAATCTTATAACATTCCCATTGCCTTTCCCTTTAATATTTTATTACATTTTAAAATCAATCATTATTAAACATTTCAACATTTTAATTTCTTATTAACTCTTAAGCCATTCTAATTTTCTATTTCTAATACAGATGTTACAATACCATCTTATGTACCTTGCAAAATCTTTTTTAAGGAAATTGTACTTTACCCTTTGTCCCTAAAAAAAATTCCTCTTTTCCCATCTAATTTCAAAACTTTGTGGTTTTTCTCCGCCTTTCCCCTTTCTTTCTTCCCCCACCAAATCTTCCTACCCCCCCCCTTCTTCTAGCCTCTGCCTTGCTGGCATCCCTTCTCTGTTGTGTTCCCTTTTTCTTTTGTTTACTATTGTTATATTTATTTTGCATCTTATTTTTCTCTTTCTTAAGTGTTTTTTTAGATCTTAAGTCCTTCATTTTCCTCGCTTTCTTCCTTCCTTCTTTCTTAGTTAAATTTTGGAATTCATTAAAGATGGCGTCTTCTTCTTCTTGTTGTTGTTCTTTTGCCTCCATCTGTTGTATTGTTTATTGATAGTTAACCAGCGCCATTTCTAAAAATAGGAAGGCTTTTTCCATACCATCTTTACCGGCTGCTTTTGTTTGCTCATATTCTTCCCTCAGTTCCTCAAAAGAAAAAGCCATTATAGATCTTTTCTTTTCTTTTTTCCCTCTTTCTTCTTACACCAACCAAGATATTTCAAAAAAAAGTAAAACAATCCCAAAATCCACAATCCTCAATCAATCCAAGCCAAGACAAAATTCTCCCTTTCTCTTCCAGGGGTAGTATCAGACAAAAGAAAAAAGAAAGTCCAAATCTGTATTTTGAAGCCTTATTGGAGTTATATTTCTGTCTTCAAATCCTTAAGGCATCTCCTCCAACAAAATCAAACCAGATGAATATATTTTTTGTCCTCTCCCTTCCGACTTATCCCATAAAGCTAGTTTTACCTGAAAAAAACAGGTTTCTCAATATCCACTTACTAATTCCGTCGGGAGGGAGAATAAACTTTCCTTTCAGCACCTCAAAATTGCCGCTTATTTTCTCTTGTGGAAAGAATCATCCAAAAAGCCATCATTTCCAGGAATTATATTAAATGTATCTTAGAGTCTGGATCAACCAAGAAAACTTTCACTCTCAAAAGCTTTCTCCTCTTCCTCCTGCGCATACTTGCCCAGCTGCCGGCTTCTTTGTGGCGGCCATTGCGGACCGCCGCTGCACCGTCTTGGGAAAAGGGGGTTCTGCCGGCCGGGGAGGGGGTCTGCAACACCCCCAAACCCCTCTCCGGATCCCCCCTATCTTCAGCTACCCCTGCAGGGTAGCCTAGCTCCGGACCCGTCCGGATCGGAGCACCAAAAGCGGCTAGCGCGGCAGGGATCACTCAGAGTCGCAAATCCCTGCCGCTCGCGAAGCCGACAAACCGGAAGATGTTGTGCTTTTTTGATGATGTTTTTGATGTTAGGTGTCCATTTTAGGTCATGTGATATAGTAGAACCTAGAAATTTGAAGGTCTTCTACTGTTGATACTGTGTTGTCTAGTATTGTAAGAGGTGGTAATATGGGAGGGTTTCTTCTAAAGTCTACCACCATTTCCATGGGTTTGAGTGTGTTCAGTTCCAGATTGTTCCTGGTTACACCACGAGGCAAGTTGTATAACCTCTTATCTGTATGTGGATTCAATGTTGTCTTGAATGAGACCAATCACTGTTGTGTCATCAGTAAACTTCAATATTT